TTGTCGACAATAATCTGAAGAAAGGGAATGTCCTTCTCTTTGAACTAGTTGAGGCTACATCAGGGGTTGTGATCTTCTCTGTTGAAGAGCTAGGATTAACTAATGCTTAGCTTGATAATTTCATCTCTTTAGTTATATGTAATGATTGCAAATGGATCGTAGTAATGGATTCATATGATTGTTCTTTATAATATTGTTTGTGTTTTTTCCATTTATTATTGTTATATTTTTTTTATTTCAAGAAGACTAATGTTTTATAATTAGCCAATTAAAATTGGGAAGTCATTAAACAGTGCAGAAGTCCCCCAATTTTTTTCTATCATTTTACAAACAAGAACAAGACTATGAAGATTATTTTCTTTTTTCCAAAAAAAGTTTAAAAATCGACATTAATTTGCTCATTAATCAAAACCTAAACCTAAACGTAAACCTAAACCTAATCAAAAAATATATTTATATTAAACCAAAATACTCACGTGGGCCATATTATACAATCTTTACATGGATTAATCAAGTCTTCTAAGGTAAGACTATATGAGATAAAACCTATGAAGTGCACTTCCATTATATGGCAGAATTTTAAAAAATAAAATAAAACGAAAACAATCTGTAAAACGAAAACAATCTGTATAGTCATGGAGGAGTGTAATGGTACATAGAGGAGTGAAATATACTACTGGAAAGTGTAATGGTTACATGAAGGAGTGTAAGGGGCTACTAGAAAGTGCAATGGATGCATGGAGGAGTGGAAGGGGCTGCTATTGGGAAGTGTAATGGTTGCCTAAGGTCTCTACAAAGAGACTTTAATTCCTACCGGGAAGTGGAAAGAGATTATAATCCTCCCTATATATTTTTCTGAAAATATGCTAGGCCTACATAAGACAATCAAACTAGAAATACTACTAAGCATAACGATGGATAAGACCCCGACAAAGAAACATGTTGAACAACCGCTGCATGGCCCACCTGTGAGTCATAACATCTTGTACCAAGATCTGAAGCGTGATTACACCAAGCTGAAGCGTGAGGTTACAGAGTTGATTGAGAGGGTGGTTCGTGATAGTAGCATTGATTACCTCAAGAGTGTCATGTTGGAAGAGCATCCCCTTACTTCGCTCTATACTATGCTTGACGATATGCCCACACCATCCGTCCATAGTGGAGCTAAGAGCAATTCTATCATTGTTATCACTAGTGATACCGAGTCCGCCTCCAAGACCTCAAAGTCTCTTTCAGTGATCAGCATATTGAGTAGTCCATGCATTATGAAGATTTATTTTTCTTTTTTATTATGTGTTTGTTCGTCTATGAAGTTTTCTACCCCGGCCCCTATGTTGATGTTTTTATTTTTCAAGTTATGTATTGGTGATGTTATCACCCACTATCGTATTAATGAAGGAAATTATTATTATTATTATTATTATGTTTTGAATCTTTTTTATATTTTATATTTTTTTATGAACTTTTTCCAGATTACCTGGGGTCTTGTATTAGCAAGAATAGAGTTTGATGATACAACAAAAGGGTATAGAAAACCCTTCTAAAAACAGCGAGGCATAATGATCGTTTGATTAAAGTTAACAAAACAGTCCTATTGTCTTCAATATTCCAACTGTTCGTTTGATGCCTAATGAAATGAAAGTACTAATAATAACATTTGTAAAGATTAATTAAGTACTCTAAAATTGGTCAATTTATTTTCTAAATTAATATAGCACATTCAACTTATGACAACAACACTGGACAAATAGGAAAATGTATTGTCAATAATTATGAAGATAGTTTAGTACTTCAAGATGCAAAATATAGCACATACTGAACTCATGGAGATAGTTGATGAGTACTTGAAGATAGTTGAGTGCTTATGAATCAATGTAGTAGGGATTAAAACAAGTTCAAAATGATAACACTTTGGCACTTACAAGGTTCCAGCAATATAGACAAATTAAAACATTCAGTTCATTTCAAAATATTTAAAAAAAATATTATATTCTTATATCATTCCAATATGGAGTACAAAAGACAAAGGCTTTGGCATCTATTCTACAGAGATTGAATGCGGCAACCAGTAACACATCAAACTAAACAATCAAACTGATAATAACCAAAATAAACAATAATCAAACTGAACAATTTTTTGAAATTTTCATCTCTACAAACATTCCAGCTAACAACACAGATGACATAGCACTTTCATCAACACACGAACTTGAAGATTGTTCTTCATTGTAAACATTTTCTTTTTGGAATTCATTGAATGATGCTACTGCTTCATCATAAGATTTGTAAGACTTGAAGATGCTTCCTTTGAAACATATAACCAAGGGAGCACACTCACACCAAGAGTTGTATAATCCTGGCTTTTTACCACGAAATACCGCATACACCTTCGATGCCGATATATTATCAGCTTGAGATCCATTTCTAAACTCATTAAAAGCTGCTATGGCTTCATCATACGTTTTGAAGGCCTTGAAGATGCTTCCCTTGACACCAATAACCATAGGAGCACACCGATGCCAAGAGTTGTACAATTCAAGCCTCTTACCACGAAACACTACATAAACTTTCGAAGCATTATTCCTCTTCCTGTGGTCCATTCCTTAATCTAACCCTAAGAAAGATAAGAGATGAAGAAGGAGAAAACAAAGATCGAAAAAGGGGGCTGGAAATGCTTTTTAGGTTCGGCCAAATATATTAAGTGTTTAGGGTTAGAAAGTGACCACTTTAGTAGTTTAATTTTTATACGTATCTTTTCTAATTTTTAAACGTATTTCCTCTAATATATTATCGGTATATTTTAGTGTATTTCGATTAATTGGTATAGTATATGTAAATTTTAGTGTATTTCGTTTAATTAGTATAGTATATGTATATGTGCTTTATAGAAATTGATGAAGCATGCATCTTGGGAAGGTAAGACAATTAAATTAGTGAGAGAGAATTGTTGAAAAAAATTAATTTAAAACGAAAAATCTGCCAAAGGGTATACATGGAAAACAAAAATGCGCAAATATTTATTATGCCCTCAAAAGCCGTGCGAAGTTACCATTGTACCCCCATTTGGGACGTTTGGGCCATTCTTGATTTGGTCGAATATATTTTCCGCTCATTATTTTGCAGGTTTATTGCGAATATACCTATTTCTTAGGATTCAATGAATTTTATCCTCTTTACTCCTTTCATTGGAACTACGATCACATTGGTTGTGGAGTTATCAAGGAACTGATGATTGCTTTTTTGAGTTTAATTGCTGTCTGCTGAAGCTCTTTCATATTGATACCAAAGCTGAATAGGGATTTGTTGAAAATTGAAACCGAGTGATGATAGGCTATAATTGCATATTTTAGTCGTTTATTACACTCGAATTTACTGTATTTTAATTGAGTTTGCGCTTTAATCGCTAGTGTTTTGCACTAATTGTGTGTTTTATGCCTTGTAGGTGTGATTCCGAGCTATATAGATGTTATGGAATGAATTTAAGTGATTTTAAGCTTTGAAGTCTGAGTAAAAGCTCAATGAATTAAGCCGGGATCGTGTTCGGGGGTCAAATTTGATAATTAAGTACGAACGAAGACTTGAGGAGGCATATTGCGCACTGTCTAGTAAAATAGACATAACTTTTTGATCAGAATTCCATTTGGGCTCCACAATATATGGTTGGAAAGCTAACTCAAAGGGCTACAACTTTCATGTTTTACGTTTTTCCAAATTCCAAATGGAACAGGGTGAAAAACCGCGGTTTTGCCGCGACCGCGGCAGAACCGCGGCAGAACCGCGGCAGAACCGCGGCAGAACCGCGGTGGAAGGCATTTTCTGAAGAATGAAGAATCCGCGAGGGCGTTTGGCCGCGGTTCCACCGCGATCGCGGTGAAACCGCGGTGGGAAGCGTAAATTTCAGGGGCTAAAGTGTAAAACATGGGATTTTAAGTCCTAAACCCTATATAAAACAAAGGAGGCCGGCCTAGAACAAAAAGGGGACATATTTTGGATACAAATTAGACCTAAGGAGGCGGAGAGACACTACTTTAGGGTTAGACAACACCCTTGGAGGCAAGAACACATTGGGAGCAAGGCGGAGAATTCTTCTACGAGTTTTTCCTTCCTCTTCCTATTTTTCATTGTTGGTTATGACTTTTAGTATTGTAGTTTTACATACTATTATGAATAGCTAATTTGTTATCTAGAGTTTGATAGAACCTTTTGTAGGATAAATTCTTGTTATGTTTTTATATAATTGAGCCATAGCTTTTCTCTATTTGTTCAACTACGTTTATATTGTGGTTGGTTGAAGAGCTCTCAATTAGCTGTGCCTATTTAGTATGCATAACTCGGGAGAGAGTGCATATTTAGGTAATTGTTGAACAACACCACTCTCAAAGTATATGAGGGATCAATAACCGAAGGTTTAAAGGTGGGATTAGGGATAATGAAGCCTTGGGTGCGATCTGAAGTGAGTTGTATTAAAAGCCAGCTAGCGTAGCTCGGGAGAGTGCGTCTAGTAAATTGTCGTAATTACTCGGGAGAGATTTACGGCAATAAGAGTGCTCATGATCGGTAGAGAATACTTAGGCGAAATTATAGAAGACATAGCGGGAAGGATTCCGACAATTGGGGAAATCATAACTCTAGACCTCCTTAATCTTTTCTCTAACCCTTAGTATCGTTAGTTGTTAATTTACTATTTTAATTTGTTAGTTAATTAGTTAAACAGAAGAATCTTAATATCTATAAGTTAGGAATTGTTCAAGCTTGTCTTCTTGGTGATAGTGAACAACTGTAGCTAAACCTCAGTTCTCTGTGGGATTCGACTCCGGACTTGTAAACCGGATTATATTTGCAGCGACCGCATTGTCCTTTTTATAAGGCATAGTTGGGCGTGATCACCGAGCTTCATGATATGTGAAATTTTTTTAGAAGGTTCCCTATGTTAAGACATTAGATAGCTCTGAGCTTCAAAGAACTGAAAGAACCACCAAAGCTTCAAACATCATATGATATAGCTACTCATTTTAATCTTTATTTGGCCAAAGTCAAAGAGGAAACAAAATGAAAAGGCAAATTTTAACAGAGCAAACAGGAAGTATTTTACGATTTTGCAGTGAAAATTTATATAGTCGACTTCAATTTTACAACAGAGAAACACAGACAATGGCAATTCATACATCCAACCTCAATTTGCTTGGGATAGAGACGTACTTGCTGCTTCACGATTACCTAGTGGAGAAATCGACTGCAATTCATTCAAAGAATGCCGACAATTTGGGCACGATGAATGTGACAAGAGCCATTTGTCAATACATGTCACATGAAAACCATGGTAACATTTTGGTAACACCCGAATTTTCTCACCATCCACAAACTCTCCTAAGCAAATTGGACATTCAGTCGCCGGAAAATTCACTCGCCCATAAACCACCACTGCAATCTGCCGCAGAGTTTTCTTCTTAATGCCTTTAGCAGCAACAACTTGTGACTCCTCTGCGGTTCCATGGACCAACGACCTACGACTACAACGTAAACCGCATCTAACGACTAAGTTTAGACCAAGTACACTTAATAATGCACAAAGAAGAACAGCAAGGATTATGATCATATTTGTGTCGAAATTTGAATCATTAAGGTACGAATCATCTCTCTGATTTCCATTTATTGCTGGCATACTTTTCTGTTCTGTCTCAAGAAGACGAAGCCGACGATTGAAATTCATCATGTTCCTATAGCTAGCTGATCAAGAATCAATTCCTGCAAGTCAAATAACAAATATATACTTCCCGTTTCAATTTAGATGAGTTAGTTTGACTCGCCACGAAATTTAAGAAAAAAAAAAAGACTTTTAAAACTTGTGGTCTTAAAAGCTTAATGGGTAAAAGCTTGGTGGGGCCATGACATTTATGTAATAATAAAAACTTCTCATTAAAGGTAAAATGAGTAAAATAAAAAGTTTAAAGTTGAATTATTTCCAATTGTAAAAATATATTATTTTCTTCGGAAGGAATTTAAATTGAAACATAGGGAGTAGCTAAAAAAGGGGAGAAGAAATAAAAACATGATTCCTTGAGCTACAAAAATAGAAAATGAAGTGAGTTTCTTTCTTCAAGCATCTTGTGGCCGGAACTCATAACCCACATGCTTGTGGCCGGCACTTTATAGTAGAAACCCGATCACGGGTTAACGCTCCCTAAAAAAAAGGCTCCATTCCCAAGACGCGCACCTAAGGCCTTTTCTGAAAGAGCCTTTACCATTCACCACACTCTTCTATAGTGCATGCAAACTCTTCAAGAAAAACAAATTTGATTTTTTTTCTTTTGTTTTTGTGAATTTTTTCGTCTGAGAATGCTGAATAGATTCGAACAAGAAAAAACCCTATATTTCCAGAGGATAAGGAGAAAATGCAAATGGTAATTGATTGACAGAAGAATTTGGGACAACTTGAAGTTATTTCCCAGAAAATGTTCCTCTTGGGACCAAAACCGAGTAATAATGCAATAGAAGATGGAGATTTTCCTTACCTTAGTTTAACTTTCCTTTTTCTTTGTTCAAAGTATTACTCTTTTTTCCTCAAGATGTTGTTATTCTTGCATGAAGTCAGTGTGCTTTAATCAGAGAATTTAGTAAGAATAACTAAACCAATAAGCAAAGAAATATTTTGAAAGAGTGTGTTCTTACCTAACCATAAAATAAAAAATAAAAAAAGGGGATTTTGGTTATGGCTACCAAATCCAAACTGAATCCATTTAAAACTTCCAGAGCTAGTAAAACCTTTGATTGAATTCTTTTTCTAGTTTGATTAGGGCATCAACTTTTTTCACATCATGCAGCCAGTGGCGAATGTAATGTACTGGTTATGGCTATGAATCGAACTCAATTTTTTGTCACAGAACATAAATGCATATGAAAAAAGTTACTAAAATTTTATTAACAAATATTAACTCGATGAGTTTAGTGCTAAAGCTATAAGATTGAACTTATCCAATTTAAATTCTAATTCGCCTCTAGCCAAATGGATTATGGTTGAATAAAATATTGGTATCCTCCTCATTCTGAAATATCTTTTGTACCTTAAGAACTCATTTTGAGAATTTCACTTTCTACAAATATCTTTGCAGCTAATAGTGTAATGGATATGGATGTTTAATTACCTTACTGATATGTTATTTTCTTATTTATTCTCTTTTATCTTCAATCCTTCGTATAATATATAGAAGTATATAGAACTTTTTATTGTCGATATATATTTTTGTCACACTCTTGAGTTAAGACTATAAATGACTAAAGCATGCTGCTATTACTTAGTTTTCTGGTTTTACACCAATTCTAATTCTTAGGTATGATTTGAACTGCTTCCTACCCATCCCCATGAATATTCTAATAATTAGGTGAAAAGGAATGATAAACTGATGGAAATTTGAGCCACTACTGTAACGATTTTCAATTCTTTCCTTAGTTTTTATCATTTGATATTACTAAATTTTGCATATAAAATATCTCTAGTAATTACAATTTAAGATTTAAAAAAAATGATTTACTCCGGTGATCGGAATCAACTTTCTTCAATCTTAAACTTCTCTTACGTGTCTAAAACTTTTGGCACGAAAAAATTTATACTGCTAAGCTAGTGTTTTTCAATTAGAAATAGTCTTTACATACACAAATAATCTGTTTGTAATTTTCTAGGACTTACTCTTAATTTTCTAGTATTCTGTATTTTTACATTTCTATACACTATATGAAACTATATTACCCTCTCTACTCAAGTTTTACTATAATTACATTTTATATACCCATTTACCATTTATGTACATTTTAAGGGAATTAATGATAATAATTAATGTCATAAAATTACTCTAACATATCTTCTACTCCCCCACGTTTCTCTCTCCACATCCCACCCCCCCTCTCCCATACTTATCTTGCACCCACTCGCGATTCCACCATTGACAACCATTAAAAAGCTTTGAAGTTTTGAATTCGAATTTGGGTTTTCAAAAAACATTATTTGTTTGAATTGAATGTTGTTGCAAAGAATTGGGAATTCTCTCTACATCTCTCTCTATCTCTCAATCCTTAATTTCAGTAATGTAAAGCGAAGGAAAAGAGAGCAACAATTCCACCATTGACAGCCATTAAAAAGCTTTGAATTCGAATTTGAGTTTTCAAAAATCATTATTTGTTTGGATTGGGTGTTGTTGCAAACAATTGGGAATATGGTCTGGAGTTTATATCTCAATTTCGAGGGGTTTTGATGAATATTAGACTTGGTTTTGGCTGAATTTCAGATTGAAACTCGAAGAAGAAGAAGAAGAAGAAGAAGAAGGAGGAGGAGGAGGAGGCATGATATACATTATATTGACAAAATTGTAGTAAAATTGTAGAAAATTATATTCTGTTGTTTATATATTTTTCTTTTATTTATTTAACTATTGTATGAAAGTTGAACAACATTGTTATAAAAATATATTTAAGTGTAATGATATTGTATTGTTATATAACTGAGTAGAAATAATGTATGAAAATTGTCGATAAGTTGTATAATATATATTAGTTGTATGAAATTTTTTTTATTATGTATAAATCGTATACAAAATATACAAAAGACATATTGTATAAAATCTGTATTTAAGCTGAATGTTATTGTAGTTGTATTTAACTGGGTATAAATAATGGTGTGAAAGTTGTAGATAATATGTATAATATATAATTAATTGTATGAAATTTGTTTTACTATGTATAAATCAGATACAAAGACATATTGTATAAATTTTGTACAAAATTTATATTTATTTCTATGCAAGCTTTATTCACTTTTTAGGGTTCTTTTGTCATTTAATTATCTTCTCTTCTTCTACTTTGAAATCTTAATCTATAAAAATTTTCAAATGGACAGCCATAGCTTAAGAGATTATTTTGTTAGTGAAGAATAGTCCTGCTACCATTAAAAATCATACCGTCATATTCAAGGTGGAATGTATATATTTTGTCACTATCCACGAAGTTTTGGCACTCCGCAAGGTCATTCATGCCTTCAACTTTCTCATCTCTTGACCTATTTCAGTATTCAAAGGAACAATATGAGCATGTTGTAGAAACCTGTTATTACGTGATAGAAACTTTTTGGCTTTTGCTAATGTTTACGTGCAAGAAGTTGATTGCGTAGGTTTCTTATATTGCATCTTGTAGTCCGTGTAACTGATGACACAGTGCATGTATTTTTTCCCCCTGTTCTTTGGTTAAGGTCTTGTAACGAGTTCATCAGTGGAATTCTTTTTCCCTTGTCTTAAGTCCACACTGGCTTTTCCTGTTTGTTTCGTTAATGCTTGTGCGCGAAATCATAGATAAATTGAACAACTCTATTGCCGACACGAATATAGAATAGATTCTGGAAGTGATTTAAGGTGGAATAAATCTCTAACATTGAAGGCCACTAATATTTATTGGGAGCCTTTGTTAAGGTGGAAGTATATAATTTGTAAACAAATTTGTGTAGTAGGGGTAATTTTACAAACATGAACATAGGCGTAATAAATTTTCCAAAAGTATATAAGGAATGAAAAAATTATACAGCCAAATATGTTGTGGTCTGAAGTGACAGAGAAAGTGTTTATGATAGTTGGGCCTATTGGGCCTTGGAATTGAAAAGCCCAGAATATAAAGTTGGACCCAAGAGGTATGATGCCATCCATTATGGCAATAGGAGGAGTTATTTCCAAGTTAAGCCATGAAAGATGATTATTTGGAAAGATATTTATAACACGGTATGTAGTTCGCGTATAACAATAGAGCAACCTGCTTTTCTTTAAAATATTTCGTAAAAAGGGCAAATATTACCTTTTTACATAAAAAATTATTTAAACTACCATCCATTTCAACTAATAATATATTGGGCTCCAACTAGGGTGTTCATTCGGATCGGATATCCGAAATCCGAACACCGATCCGGTTCAATTTCGGATTTCGAATTTTCGGATTGGATCGAATTTCGGACTTGTGGTTTATTAAAATTTCGGATTTTCAGACCGGATTCGATTGGTTATTTAATTCTGATCCGATCCGAAATTATTAGGCCAATACTGTTCCTTTACACTTCCTCCAAGTTATTCATACCTTTACAATATGCCTAGATTTAGCTATATTGGCACCATAGTACTGCTTATAATTGCATAAACATGAAATTTTTCTTAATGTATCTGCCTCTTTTACAAAGAAAAATTTAGTACCATATTAGTTTGCAACTTTGAGGCATTATAACGATCTCGAAATCGATCCGATCCAAACTTTAAAATCCGATCCGATCGATATATTGGATCGGATTCGGATTTGCATTTTCTAGAATCGAAATCCGAAATGCCGAAATGCCAAAATTTGCTAAAAATTCCGTATCCGATCCGACACAAGCTCTAGCTCCAACCACTTTAAACTTTGAATTCAAAATATTTTAATTTGGAATGGAAGAGACACGCGGCAGCTTTGATTAAGAATCAATCCATCCGCCAAATTTAAATAGTCTGGATTAAAATTAAAAATCTCGCCCTAAAATTAGATAAATATTAAACCTGACCCAGCCCATTCTTCTTTAGAACCATATATTATGGTTGTCTAACAAGCTATGTTTGAATCAGTTGTTACTTAAACTATATTTATATGATAATTATTTAGCTGTTATATATTGTATTGTATCGTTTATGAATTAGCGTTTGAATGGATTGTATCAGTTGTGCTGTTTAATAATATTTTTGTTGGTTTGTTTTGACTGATCGTACTGTACAATAACTGATAAGTTTAACTAACAATACCCGCAATTGTTTTAAATTAAAATTTATCAAGAAATCAATCATAAAATAATTAAGAAAACCTCTTTTTACTAGTTTTTCATTTTAATTACGTAGTCTTGGAAACAAGGAGAAAAACCTGAAAAAGGTTAACTAATAATTAGCAGAAAAAAAATTAAAAAG